AGTTTAATCTAGTTAAATATTCTCTGTTTCCCAATACTTCAAATTTTAGCTAGACTACTGCAAAAGCACGACATGTGATAGCCCCCTCCATATTTTGCCAGATCCTTGTGCAGCTGTACTTCAAAGCTCTAAAATTTTAGCTATTATAACAACAACAACAACAAAGCGAATTCTGGAATTCCTTATTGAGGAAACTAGTAATGGTAAATTTTGAACAGCATGCAATTAAAATTTAACGTATACCATTTTTTCCTTCAAAAGGCACAGGCTATTGTCATATCAACTATAAATATTTTAATGGCATTCCAGAAATTCCCCATATTAATCGCTTCTCTATTTTTTTAAAAAAATCTATTTTTGGCTGTTATTGATCAATGTATTTTTTGAAAAAAATTAATGTTTGCTTTTTTCTGTCTATATTGTTTAATTTTTTCAAGTACATAGTTTTTCCCCCCCTTTAGTTGTTTAAAATGGGGTTTATGGAAAAAAAAATTAGCAGAGATGGCAAAACTGACCTATGTGGTCAGGGATAAGACAATAAGTACTTCAGCTTCTTCCTTAATACTTCATGGAATATTGTGTGACATCAGAAAAACAAAATCTCTCAGTCTGCGTACAGTAACAAGTAATTGGATACCATCAAATTGTATTCAATTCTTGATGGCAACTTGAACAAATACTCACCTCTGCCTGTTTCCAACCCATAGGTCATTCAAGAATACTTCAGCATTCTCTTTAATATTGTATATCCATCTATTTCCCTCAGCCTTACCAAGCACAAACTTTTATTCCCCTTACATCTTATGCACAAAGTATGTGAGACTCTACCGGCTCTCACCACATGAAGAAAGCAGGCAACCTTTACTTGGCCAAAGACTCATGAACAGTGTTCAGCTTTCACAACCAGACATACCACTATAAAATAAAGATTATGCTTTTTAACTACCTACCTGCAATCAGCAGCATTTTAGATAAAGAGCACATTCCAAAACCATCACACACACCCCTACACACAGGACTTGAGGAGGTCCAGAATAATTTAGTAGTTAAGGTGTTGAACTAGGGGAGGCCCAAGGGCAAAATGCATGTAAAAGTGTCCAAGAAACTAAGAAAGAGAAGCCTGGAAAAACTGTGAAGGGATGGTTAAGGAGTGTTGGACTGGGGTCAGGGATACCCAGATTCCAGTCCACCGTCAGCCATGGAAGCTTCCCGAGTGGCCATCACACACCCTTTCAGCTGAACCTACTTCAGAGAGTTGTTGTTATAGGGAAAAAATGGGAGAAGGGAGTGCTATGTAAACTACCTTGAATTCCTAAAAGGTAGACAGAGTATCAATCTAACAAACTAGCAAATAAACATACATCATACATTCTGAAAGTAGGAAGAGCCTGAGTTGAACTTGACTTCAGCATTTTTCTTTGGTGAGTCAACCTTAAAAACCGCCGCTAAGATGTCACGTGAAGCCTTACATGAATAGCCCCTGCGTGGAGGGCAAAGATCGGACCGCCTGCCACGAAGAAACCATCATCAAATCGCTTTGGATTAAGCGGTGAATCAACCCAGAGGCGCAGAAAGACAACAGGGCGCCGAGAAGAGCCAGCGACGCCCGACTCCTTGCGCCTACAGATGCTTCTGCTCTCCCTCCCCGCCATCGCGTCAGCCTGTCCCAACACGAAAAACACGGCACCCGGAGAGGCCTCGGAGAAGACGACGCCCCTCCTCGCCAGACCAAAAGGCGAGACGCCCTCGCTTCTCCACATATGGCACTGGCGGAGAGCGGAGCCTGCCGCGCAAGAGGCAGGAGCGGCCCGAGTTAAGCCCAGGAATCGAGTGAAGAGGAGAAATAATCGGTACTTACTCAAGATCTCCTTGCGTCGGTCGGCGTGCGGCTGGTCGGTATAGACCCACTCGAAATCCTCTCGGGCCACAAAGTTTCCCATGCCTGAGGAAAACCCGCCACCAGGCCGCGGCCTACCGGAGGCTCTTTCCACAGATCCCCGCGAGCCACAGCACGCTCTCGCCGCTACTCGACTGACTCCTTTTCGCTTTCCAGGGGAAGACGATCTCCCGCTGCCGGCACACCTTTTTATTGCGGTCTCATTGGTTCCCGCTGGCGGTGACGTCACGGAAACAGCGCCGCTTGAGAGGGGGCTGGACGGCCCAAATTTGGAAATCGCTCCTTCTCGTAAAAAGTTGGAGGGGATTCGCGTTAGGTGTTTCATTTCAAAATTATCAAGACCTGTGGTTAATAATGTTACACCGCTGTTATCATGACTTCTGCAGAGTGTGTCCATCCCGTGTAATCAACCTGGGAAACGATGCTCGGAGCTCCCTCCTCTTGGAAGTTAGGCCGACGAAGGTGCGGAAGCGGGCTTGCTGTGGGGCGCCCCCTCACTCGGAAATGCTCTGCAGCCCCAGATCTTGATGCCGCCTCAGCTTCTACAATTCAGGAAGCCGATGGAAACGCCGCTCTTTCGCTGCCTGAGACCTCGGCTGTTCTGGGCTATATTAATGATGTCTCTTTTTTTAATGATAGGTCGGAGGTTTTAATGTATGTAATGTATAAAGGTTTGTCTTCTGCAATTGTAAGTTTTATAAGTGATTGCATACATGTGTATGTGCAGACATAGTCACATATGATTCTCTCTGGGTGCGTTTGCAGCATGTGATGTTACGGGTCGTATCTGCTCAGGTAGAAAAATTGCAGCTCTGGTAGTGGAATGTGAAATGGAAGGCACGCTGGAGCCTAAGATAATTTTTTATACGCCTTGGGCATTCTGACTCAGAGCCCAGCCAACAGAGTTGCAGAATTCGCTTTACCACCGCGACCCTCTATACATCTTAACTGTCCCCATGTTTGCGCTGCCTTAGCGTAGCTGATTGAATGGAGAGAGCCCGGAGCCTAAGGCTCCGTTCAGGCCTGCCATCGGACATGGCCCGTTTCAGTAACAGCAGCATTTTGGCAACAGGAGCCTCGCCTGAGCGGCGTTTAGCCTTGCCCTCAATCCAGGAGGTCCACTTCTAGGATGTATGTTAATATGGAGGAAAACTTCATTGACATTAATAGGACTCTCAAGGGTACATTGGCTTGCTACTCCAAGTCTGTGAATGGGTTGTAAAAACGGGGGTGGGGGGAGATGGATGTGTGGACCGATCTTAACCAATAAGGTTGCCCTCTCACCTGAGGGTATGCATGTGGTGGAGCCAGAAAAAAAAAGATTGAGTCAAGTAGATCAAATGAGGGGATCCACACTGAGTCCAAAAGCTATTATTCCTGGCAGAGATATATTCATAGAAGCATTACAGTATATACTTTCTCTAAAGTAGCCCTACTTCTGAATTTGATGGGCATTAAGAAAAACCTCCTTGTCAGCCCCCATCAGGATTTTTCTGCAGATGGACAAAAGGCAGCCTAAATATTTTCTTAATAAGGTGACAACAGCTACATTGGGGAGGTATTTGTTAGTGTGCAAAGAAGACTCAGAGATCCCAAAGGCCCAGGCTACTTCCAGGTTTTAAAAACCTTAATCATGATAATCAGTTTTTAAAATAAAAAGTGAGAATCCCTGAACAAAAAAAAAAAACCTCATACAAAAAGAGTGAAGCATTTTTGAATAAAAAGAATTAACAAGACAGCCTTTGTATGCTTCAAAAATTATTTGGAGGAAATGGTAACACAAACAAGCATCTCTGCTAGTCATTAAAGCTACAGGAGTCTGAAGGAAGGCAGTGCTGCTTTAAGAGTAATATGAATAAGTGTGATTCTTTATTTTTTTAGGTTGAAAAAAATCAAGCAGCTTTACTGAAACAATTTGTTTCTATAGTCAAAACAACTATCAGACCAACCTAATAAGGGGGTCCAGGTCAAAATGCATACTCAGTTCTTACAGTGTATATTTGATGATGCTCTGAAATAGAAATTCATTGGGTAACAAGGATATTGAAGGAGAAAATTTCCTCATGACCTAATTTATGAGTGAAGACCACACAATCTGCTTGCGCCAAATTTATTTGAGCAGTGCTGGGGACAGACCTGCTTCCTGAAGGAGGGTACACACCACCTTTATATATTATAAATGCTAACCAGTAATGTCAAATATCAATCATAACATGGATTAGGTATTCTGTTTATACTGAGATAAGCAGAATAATAAAGTGGAGGCTGGCAGTTTATGTGGTTAGTTACTCCTAGTTTCCATCTAAAAATATAAGTCCTGATTAAAGATGACTTGTGAGCCAGCATCTGCAAATACCTAACCAAGCTATTAAGGAGGCTTACTTGAGTTCAGGGGCCTTAGTAGTTTGGAGGTTTTGGTTCAGGTACAGGTTGTCCTCAACTTATGGCCATTTGTTCAGCGACCATTCAAAGTTACAGCAGCGCTGAAGGAAGGGACTTATGACTGGTTCCCAAAGTTACAGCTGTTGCAGCGTCCCCATGGTCATGTGATCAAGGTGGAGAGGAGGGCACTTGGCCTGCCTACACTTAATGACCATGGGGTCATTCAACTCCCCCCACCCATCTTCCCCCCCAGCTATGGCCTTTTGGCCCTCTGCACTCCACAGCCCCTGCCACCCTAGCTGATCTTCACTGTCTTCTTGTTCCTGCTACTGACCAAGCATACCTGGCCTGGCCTTTGTGAGGCAGTTTCTGGCCACATGAGGCTTTTTTCCCAAGGTCACTCTTGGCAGTTTCCCTTTAAGACCTGGGGAAGATGGTCTCACATGGCCAGCATCTGCCTTGCGAAGGGCCAGGGTGGGCACACCTTGTCAGCAGCAGGAGCAAGACAACGGCAAAGGTCAGCTGGGGCGGTGGAGAGTAAGGCAGCAGGGGCCTCAGAGTGCAGGGTGGCAAGGGTGACTGTGGCTGGGACAGCTGCAGCTTCCCGGGGCTTCTCAACTTTGCGTACGCTGCTGGGGCTTCTTGGGGTGGCTGTGGCTTCGTGCTGTGCTGTGGCTCAAGAAGCCCGAGCCGCAGCATGGCAAGCAGCCCCACAGCCATGTTGTTCTGGGGCTGCTTGTCGCCCCACAAGGCAGGGTGTGGGGTGGTCAAAAGGGCAGAGATGGGAGGGAGACAGGTGTGGGGGGACAGTTGAAGATGAGGCAGTCCCTTACCTTACCGAGGCTCGGGGCTGAGAGGGCTTGGATTGGGTTGGGTCCTCAGCTAACGACTGGTGGAATTTGATTAACAATGGCAATGGGGAGTGCCGGGGTTGCCATCAGTAAGCAATGAGGTCACGTGATATGCTTTACACCGCATTGCTTAGCAGTGGAAATTCCAGTGCCAATTATAGGTCAAGAACTACCTGTATTTGTTTTACTCCTTCAGTATCAGGGACCAAAAAATGTAGAAAAGGTTCAGTGTTTCGCTTCACATGCAATGATAACCCTTCAGTGAAGAAAAGGGTATTGTGTACAATATCAAAATGCTTTTTTGTATCAATCTGTGGGGTTTCTGCAGGGGGGTGACTTTTGACTTTGACTTGATGAAGTAAAAATGGCAGCTGGAACCATGCAATGGAAGCCCTGCCCCTTTTTTACATACAATGTATGTAAGAAGGGGGAAGGGCTTCAAGCACATGGTCACAATCACCATCTTGACTTTTTTAATCTCCTCCCACAGGCACCCCTGCCTGCCCACGTTCATGGTAACTACTAGTCATCTGACTTTCCTCCAAGCTAAGGAAGAAAACCTTGAGGATGTAGTTGGGCAATGTTTGAATAAGGGAGAAAATGCCACTATAATACTGGTACATCTAACAATCAGGGCCATCTCAGTCATGGGGTGGAGATGAGATAGACAATATCCTATAGACAAGGAAGAAAATAGGTGTTGCCAAGGAACCATTGTGCTGTGTTTAAGTAAAGCTGTCATATGTTCTTTATAGTCTGATAACGTTCTTTATCTGAGAAGCTCTATGAAGTTAAGAGTGTCATTCCTATAGGAAAGTGTTAGGTATTCACCATAAGTGTTCCCTTTAAGGAGTATATCATTATGATAGAACACATTTCAGGTGAGGAAGGATGGCTGT